TTGAGGTGGGGAAGCCTGGGGACAGGCGTGGTGTAGTCCCCATCTGTGGGAGCATGTGGTGGAGCTCACCTCTTGACCAAACAGGAAGCAGAGAATGGAAGTTGGTCGCAATTACAGTGCTCAAAGGCCTGTCCCAGCAATCCACTTCTGCAGCCTGACTCCACTTCCTAAAGGTTCTACAACTTTGCACAACAGTGCTACCACTAGGGACCAAGTGTGTAGACACATCAGCCTGTGAAGGACAGTGCATGCTCAAACCATAACAGCACAAATTTGCTCCATGAGTTGACTTCTTGTTTTGCTGCCATTGATTTTCTGGGCCAGCTCCCAGGTTATAGAATTGTTTCAGTGAGCTTGCATTCCCCAGGGTGGGTCAGCAGAAAGTACAGTCCATATCTAGTCAGGCTTATAAACGCAGAGGATTTGAGCGAGTTGGCCATGGTATTGTGTTCCTCTCAGTTTGCCTCCTCATCACAGTGCCCTATTCCCTGCCTCACAGCAGAGGCCAGTCAGTATGGGTGTTGCCTGCTCTACTTTATGCAAAGGGGCACTGTAATCCAACACCCTGGCCCAGGGCTGGAAATGTGTCTTTTCCCATTGTGAACATTGAATCTCTGTGGCATTCAGAACTGGAGAATATGCCAGGACTTTGGGAAGTTGTCAGTCCAATGAAAGAGGACTCTTCAGGGACATAAAAGTGAAGAGGCCACAAGATACCAAGAGACGTAGCATGCCTTGGACTCACCTATATGTTGCTCTCTGCTGGTGAGTGATTCAATTCTTGATCATTTCTCCTGAGAACTATCAATAAACTTTGCTGCTCAGGACTGTTAGATAAGTGGGTTACACCCTAAGCCCCTCAGCTAAATATGCCAAGAGTATGGGTGGGCTTCAGCTGAAAGCAACACAGGCAATTCTAGAAGTAGGGGCCTGGAGAATGTGAGAGAATTCTAGGACCCAAGATGGAAAGAGATACTATTCAGGAATTGATTTCAAGAGAAGGCAGGCCATTTATATAGACACCCGTAATTTTCTGTATACCCATGCTTCAGCAGACCCAGTTAGGATGGGACTTAGTCATGTGTAACTACCATTATGGATGGAGTGGCAGTTAAGACAGTTTTGTCAGTGCTTCTGGTCCCTTAACCCAGCCAGTGGTAACCTTCCACCATCAATGCTACAGGAGGGCCCAGGGAGGACTAGGCATGTTGGAAGGTAACTTGATGGCTTTCCACAGCAGATCCCTGGCCCTGAGGTGCCTTTCTGTCCTCTTCCTCACTCTCCCTTCTGTAGACTCTGGAGGACTTCTAGTTTGGGCAGGAGCTCTTAGCCCTTGATTCCTCTTTTTAAAAAAGATTTACTTTTAATTATGTGTATGTGTGTGTCTCTGTGTGTATGTGCATGTGAATGCAGGTACTGGTGGAATCCAGAAGAGGGCATTGGATCCCCTGGAGTTGGAGTTACATATAGGCAGTTGTGAGTGGCCTGATGCTGGGAACCAAACCCAGCTCCTTTGTATTTTGGAATGAGTCAGTCTTCTTTTGTATCTTCTTCCCAAACTATTTACAAAAACGTGTCTTCACTTTTAATTATGCTGTCCCCATCTTGGATCCACCTTTCCATCGCTTCCCGCATCCTGACTCCTCCCTACTTTCCTTCCTACTCCTCTTTTCCCAACTTCTGGGGACCCTCCCCTTTTTTCTCATTTGTAATTCCTTGTGACCTCATTTTCCCAGTGCTGGTCAACCAGTTGCCACCCACAGCTCTTGGTGATAGCTGGTGTCGGGAAGTGCTCTGGCTGGGACAGTCCTGGAGCTCTGACTGCTTCATTGACAAATTGCTGGGAGACTCTGGCCCACCCGACAAGCTGGCCTGGCAAGGATCTTATTTTGTTTGGATTGACCATGAGTGAATAGCAGAGCTACTCTGTAATATTTCTCCACTTGTTCAACAATTACCTAGCTCTTACCACATACCAATGCTCTGTTCTGGATGTGAGGTGGGCAGGGATGTAAACAAGACCCAGTTCTTACCCAGATCTCAAAAAGACTGCTGAGCACTCTTGATGCTTTGTTAACGAACTATAACCAAAAACATTGTATTAACATGAGAAAGACCTGGGTGGATGCACAGAAAGTGGACACACAGATCCTCCTTCCACTCTCCTTCTGACTCCATCTTGGATGGCCACTTGGGTGGTTGCCATGACATAAATAAACATTACTGATGGGTGGTTTTGATGGTGTCTGAAAAAACAGCCCATTTCCTTTCTCCTTGGGGCAATGTAGCAAAACAATGTTAACCATTATTTTCTTTCTACTGAAGTAACCGTGCAGATGTCTCTACCTCCTAGTGGCTTTCAACAACCACCTTCGACCACGGCTTATTGAAGGGTAGTCTCAGATTTTAGTCTTACAGGACATAGTACTAAGAGTGGAAGGCTGTGTGGAGGACGATAGAAAGAAACTTCTCATTAACTTCTTTCGAAATTTTTTGTTTATTTATTTTGGTCTTTTTGAGACAGGGTCTCCCTGGAGGCCTGGAGCTCACTATGTAAACCAGTCTGACCTTGACTTCACGGAGATCCACCTGCCTCTGCCTCCTGAATGCTGAGATTAAAGGTGTCTGCCACCATACCCAGTTTGTTTATTATTTTTTATTTTATGTGTATGAATGTTTTGCCTACGTGCAAGTGCACCTGTGTGTGTAATGTCCACAGAGACTGAAGAGGGCATCAGATCCCCTAGAACTGGAGTTAGGGATGGTTGTTAGCTGTTGTGTGGGTGCTGGGACTTGAACCTAGGTCCTCTGCAAGAATGGCCAGTGCTTTTAACTGCTGAGCCATCTCTCCAGCCCACGAAGTTTTTTGGAAGAAGCAGGTAGATGGGAGGATGAAGGAATGTGTAAAAAGAGCAATAAACTCAGCTGTTCACCAGTTGACCAGCGTGTTTGGCCTTATTTTTCACATCTGCAAATGAGAGTGAGAACAATAGCCACTTGTGGGCTCATTGTGAGACCTGAGGAGAAAGTGACTCTAAAGCACTTAGAACACAGGCCCAGGACTGGACAGATGGGTCCCCAATTGAGAATAGTGCTGCTCTTGCAGAGGACCTGAGTTTGGTTCCCATGTCAGGTGGCTCACAATTGCCATAACTCCAGCTCTGGTGAGGGGTATGATGGGGTGTGAATCTGATGTCTCTGGCCTCCTCAGGCACCTGCACTCATGTGCATATACCCACACACATACACATAATTAAAAATAAAAAGTAAATCTTTTTTTAAAAAGCACAAGGCACAGTTTTGGAGAGGATGGTAAGGAACATCAGGCTGGGATGGCAGAGAGTGGCCACGTGACTTGGGACAGTCACTTTTGAACACTGGCTCTAGTTTCCTCATCTGTAAAGGAGCAAGTTTCACCAGATCATTTGGAATTCTGTTCAGTAACATTCTTTGATCATCTTTTCTGTTGGTGCCACCTTAGGTGTTCATAGGGAACACACACACTGTTCCTAAAACTCCTTCCCTAGGGGAGATGTAAAAAACATCATCCCCTCTTCCCAAGGTCCCATTGACAATCCTAGGTATGATTCCACCACAGTTTACCCTGGAAAACCATTGAGTTTACTGTGCTTCTGACAGAACATGGGTGAGGGGTTACTTATAGGAGCACAGGTGCTCCCCACCGCCAAGGCCACACTGGAAAGTCTTCACCCAGCATGGATGACGGCTTCCCATAGCTGCATAAATGGAGGCCCCCTCTCTACATACTGTAGTCCTTTCCTGAGGCCACATACACTTAGGGCCCATTGCCTACCATGTAGGGAGGAGAGGCTGGATACTCAGATGAAGATCCTGTGATTACCCTTGCCTCCTTTTTGATGCAGGGATGTCAATACTCAACAAACCCTGCTGTGATGATCTTTGGCAAGCCAGCATAGCTGAGCTCAGGAAGACGGTGTCAGTGTGGCTCAGGGGACGGTCCTGTACAGTGTACACATAGATATCGCTAGCCAAAGATATGGTTCCAAAGAACCTCCAGGTCCAGGAGTCTAGTGCTCAGGCCAGGGAGCTTGATGGGGAAGCAGTTTTGCCTGGGACCTGAAAGGTGGTGGGCCTCAGCTCTCTTTTGCTGCGTTTCCACCACTAGTTACTTGTACTTTGATATGTATAGTTCTGAAAAAGACGTGTCTGTCCATGCCTTGCTCTCTTCTTTGCACATGTATGCTTGTCTGGCCTCCTTTCCTGCTAGTTGGAGCAGAGTGGGCCAGCAAGGCCCTAGGAGCAAAGCAGGGAGGTTACATCTAAGCCAGGCTACCCAGAAGCTAGTGGGGCCCCTACTGCCTTACTCAATCCCTTGATGAGTCAGTGTTCTCATCTGCAAAATGGGGATGCAGGATAATAATGGCACCTACCCCAAAGCGTGGTTGTGATTATCTGATGTAATGTGTGCAGAGTGCTGCCAGGTGGACCCACAGTAGTCACTAAATAAATATGAGCAGTTGTGATGGACAGTCTGTGTCTAGCTTCCTCCGACTTGCATTTCTGGTCTTAAGCTTAGTCACTTCCTCTGGGAGCCTTTTTTTGGCTCCTAAGGACAACTGTACACTCTCATGGCACACATACCTGGCTTCTACCATAGCAACAACACCTGTCACCTCTCAGGGTCCCCATCAGATCGCAAATTCCACCAGGACCGGGAGGCACAAACGGCAGGCACTCAATAGTTACTGAGTAAATGACAGGAGGGTCCCGTGATCTCCAGGGTTTGGTGGTGGAAAGTCGTGGGGTGGAGGTGGGGTGAGACCGAACGGACAGGTGACAGAGAGCCTGGTCCTCCAGCGTGTCCAGGGAGGCATGGAGATGGTGCATAATTTTGGTCGGGTCTGAGAGCTGGGTAGAAAATGCAGCGTGACTTGTCCGGTGAGCGCCGGGACCACACCCCCACCCCCGCCCCAGCCCAGGCCCCGCCCAGCCCGTCCCAGGCCCGCCTCCTTCGGCGCCTGTAGCAAGGAAGCTGCAACAGCAAGTGGCCGCGCCACCCCCGCGCTGGGCGCGCCCCACACACTTATCCTGCCCCGGAGCAGCGCGGGCACCCAGCCCTCTGTCCACAGCCGCTGCGGGATGCTGCGTTCCACGTCCACGGTCACCCTGCTCTCGGGTGGCAGCTCCAGGCCGCCCGGGACGCCCAGTAGGAGGGTGAGTACCTAGCTGGACACGGAGCTGCCCAGGTCGCCTTCACCCATTCCTGTCGGCCCCTCTTGTAGGGATGTTGGCAGGAGGACGCGTGGGGGGTCAGCCCCTGGCCGCGACACCCCGTCCTGGGTTCAACTTTCCCGTGACCTCCCTCTGGATGCCCCACGAGCTGAAAGAGGGAGCTCGGGAGACTTTCTGGAATTCCCAGAACTTTCCTTTCCTTCCTGCCTCCACTGTCAAGCCAAGCTTATCAGTGGCACCAGTTTAGAAGGCAAGGGAGAGATTTCTGAGGTCTCTAACCTTGAAACATACACTAACGGATGTATTTGAAACGCGATCTTTCCTTCTAACGCTGGTTAGAAGAAAAGCACCGCTTTGTGACAGTCCTCTCACCTCTGATTCAGGAATGGGCTTTGCCAAGGTGGGTGCAGGACAGGGCTGAGCTACTGACCACGCTGGAGCCTAGCCGTGCAGGACTTCGGTTTATGTACCGTTCTTTCTTCTTTCTGACTGAAAATACTAGCATAGTGGCAGTGGGGGTGGACCCAAAGCCCTGGGCTCATCCCCAGGGAGGTTTCCCTGTGGAAATCTATTTTTCCACAGTCTTTGCCGCATCTGTTCCCACCTCCCCAGATGCTCTGTGAAAGAATGTCTAGACACACAGGTTCCATGCATCTTCCAAGATTCTGGCCTCAGAGAAGAAAGACTTGGCTAAGGAGCTTGGCTTGTGGCCTTTTACTTCTTCCAACACCATGGTATTCAGTACTTACTGTCTGGTGCCTCTTGACTATATTTGAGACTTCTGTAATCAGACCTTCCCAAGATTCAGCCCAAACAAGTTAAATCCAAACCAAAAGCTCCTTGGTACTCAAGTTAGTTTGTTGGTCTTGCAGACAAGCTTGCTGGCTTTTACCTTGTAAATTACCTTATAGAAGAAAGGCATGTACTGCTCTTGGGTATCGGCCAAGTGATGACTTCTGGGTGTGTGTATGTTTGTGTGCGTGCGTGCGTGTGTGTGTGTGTGTGTGCCAGACACCTAAGGTTGGCAGAACTCTGGTTTTTCAATCATTAACTTGATAGAGCAAGATCCACATTAGGCCAGTAGGTTTCCAATCATAGGCCTACCCTTCCTGCAAGATGGGTCTTTGACCTTTTCCTATGGAAATCTTTGTTAATCAGAATGAATTTTTGATTGAGAGTGTGGAGTCTATGAAAGGACAGACCTGAGTCAGGGCACAGCACCCTTCAGGAGGTAGGTTCTGGTTGAGGTGGAGAATGGGATAGTATGAGAGAATACAGATGGGACTAGTACACTCAACAACACCTTTGAAGATCTTTTTCTCTAATGTTTGCTTTGGAGTGTGTCTTTAGTTGTAAGTGCTTTGGTATCTGGCTCATTGTGACACACTATTGAGAATGTTTTGCCTTTGGGTAAGACTGAGTCAATACTTTGGGCTGAAGATCCCAGGGCTTTGAATTCAGACTATGCAATTTTGTTCAGGGCATTCTAGAATTCTCCCTGTCTTTACAGTTTCCAGCTCTGCTCATGAACTGTAAATATCAAAGGTGCTGTGTGTGTGTATGTGTGTGTGTGTGTGTGTGTGTTGGCGGGGACGTGTGATGGGAAGGTATGCTGTGTTGATTAGCTTACTGACTCAGTGAATATTTATAGATCTTTTTCTGTGTGGTACAGGGCTGGGTACTTGTGGAGGTGGACAGTGTCATAAGCCCAATTTGTATAAAGTGATGGTTGTTGTAGTGG